ATATATATATATATATATATATATATATATATATATATATATATATATATAGTGATAAGGGAGAAAAGAAGAAGAAATATCGATGAAATAACCGTTTAAAAAAGAATGTTCGCGATAAATGGTGTCGATATCAATGAAATACATTTTGATAGCAATAGCAAGAAACCTCGTGCATCGAACGATTTCTATTTTTGTATTAAATTTATATTCGTATCTTTTACACGAAACTCGAATTAGAAGAAAACTTTAACTTGTAAAATAATCATTCTTTTCTTTTCTTTTTCTTTTTCTGCAAATTTATAGTTTTCAATCATCGACAGAGAGAGAGAGAGAGAGAGAGAAAAGTTAAAAAAATACGTTCTATTCAAAAGCTTTTCGAGCTATCGCTAAAAAATTGTTTAATTAAACGAGCTTTTTATCTTAATTCAAAATTTCGCGTATTAACGCGCCACTTTACGACCTTTGCTGGGATAAGTCCAAGCGACCTTGGAACAACAAGAGCGAGTAATCTCGTTATAGGTATCATGACAATAGCATTAGCAATTCGGCACGAATCACCTTGCCCAGCTCTCTCAGCTTGTGAAATCGTCACGTGGTATCAATTCACGTTTGCGAACACACGACACATATGGGCTATTATATCAGTCCGGAAATTAACCGTGATTTTCGATCGTGTACAACCGTTGTATAACTTTTCCCTTTAAAAACGGCTTTGTCGAACTTTGTCGTATTTGTTTTAAGCGTGGACGTTTTCGAATTATGAAAATGATTTCACAGAAATATTTTAACTACGTATATAAACATCACTTATGACATCATTCGTTAAAAGAACAATTTTCTCTCGCTGAGAAAAATATTATTCGATATTTATTACTTAATCGTTGCAATAACTATACTCGTTGCAAAAAAAAAAAAAAAAAAACGATTGAGATATTCCAATGTACACGTGTTATAAAATAAAATACAAGATTACCAACACATTTACAACGATGCATAAAAAAAAAAAAGGAAAGAACGAGAGATTAAAATTCACAATTTATTTCCGGATCAAATATATATATGAATATATATCTTATAAATAATTCAACTTCTGGCAAAAAATTTGTAAAATTTGTAAAATTATGGTAATCGACGGTTTATTTATCGCCTCGACAATTATTCGTCCGCGAAATGAATTTCATTATTGCAAAGATACTCGACAAAATTGATTAACATTCCCACGCGAAGCGAATCCTCCGTGTCTTGTCGTGTCGATCGATCCTCGTCGCGAGTAAAATTCTCGAGTCGCCGATAATTTGCTGTGTATCGCGACAATTTACGAACTGGAAGGATGAAATCGACGTAAGACTTGTCGAGTTTCTAGTCTAGGAATGAGTCGCGATCGAACACGTGATGCGAACAACAGGTTCGTTCGAACCAGAAATTGTGGAATTTTTCTCGATCACATTTCTGTAAATTCGCGGCAATAAAAACCGGATACACTTCCGTGAGAAGGATTGCCGGCGGCAACGCGAATCTTCCCCCCTCCCTCGCGCGCAAATTAGCATCGCAAATTTAACGCGCAACTGGTCAAACGAGTTTTACGTCACGACAAAAAAAAAAAAAAGAAACAAACAACGGTTATTTTCTTCGACAACTATGTATGTATGAACTGGAAGGGGGAGAGTCGTTGGAAATAGAAGGAAGAACGAATAGAAGAGAGAGGAGGGTTCGAGATTGATAATTGGACGAACGATATTTATTACACGTCGTTGAAGAGTGAAATTTTATCGAATTTGTCGAGTGCGTGTGGAGATCGGTGTCTAATCGATGTGAATATAAATAATAGAGGAAATACAATTACAGTTGAAACGATGAAGAAGGGGAATCTCTAGTCGGATGGATCGATACGTAAATAAGTAAAAGTAATCGTGTACGTGGAAATAGTTTGTTCTTTTTTTTCAACCTACTTCGATGCGCAAAATCGCCCTCCAATCGCGTTTCATTCGATAGGTACACGTGCATTTGTTATCTCCATCAAATTGGCGAAGAAACGCGACTTCGTCGCCCTGAAAAGAGACAAAAGTTGAAAGCGTGCTATTTAAACGCTATTGCACGAATTCCAAGAAATTGGAGAGAGGAACGGGGGGATGATTAATTTCGATTAAAGCGGCCGACCATGTTTCCTACACATGTTTATCATCGCGCATATACAGCGACTGCTGTATCGTCGATGACGCGTGCGCGCCGCTTCGAATTTACGATCGCGGAAGTTTCGCGCGTACGTACAAGGTCTCACCATTTGACCCGGTTGAAAACAATACAAATCGCGCACGTAGTTATATCCCAACAACGCAGATCCTTCCATC